TTTGAATCTGCTCCTACTTCAGTATGTAATCGCAAGGAGCTATAGTCGTTGAAATAGTGCCAATGTAGCGAAAAAGTACCTTTCGGCGGTACTCGGGCAAAATCCTCAACGTGGCCATTTTTTAATACTGAACGTTTGGAGCAGTTCTAGTAGCATTTGATAGAGCAAATCTTCTAGTTTATGATGACGTATTAACTTTTCGGATTGGATGAGTTTGAACGGAGTTATGGCTTTGGAAAGCGTAAAAACTCGCACTCATCACGAATTTTCCTCGTTAATTTTGCAAAAATCCTCAACGTGGCCATTTTTTGAATACTGGACGTATAAAGCTGCTTTAGCAACCGTTTGATAGAGAAAATCTTCTAGTTTTGTATGCCATATTAACTTTTCGAATTTGACGAAAATGAAGCAAGTTATTGCTTCGGAAAGTGTAAAAACTCGTGCTCATCTCGAATTTTCCTCGTTAATTGATCTAAATTTGTTATTTCTTATAACTTTTTGTAATTTCAATACTGATTAGAAAGAGCTCTTTACAAAACTCCCAAATCTGCTTTCAGATTGATATGTGTTCAAATTTCAATAGTAGATACCACAGCCAACGCCAAAGTCCAGTCAACACACAGCTGGCGAAGGCGGTTACAAGCTTCTTTCAACTGAAAGGGGGACGTGTAAATTGAGAACCACAATCTGTGTAGTACTAGAATTTGGTAAGTCTTGTGAAGGAAATAAATAAAGAAGAGATGTTGTCATAGTATGCCATTTTTAGTGACTAGTTTGTCGTTTTTTGCTCCTTTTCTCGTTTGCTCGTTTGGTAGGACTCATCAATAATGATCATTCTTTGACTTTTTCACTTTTGTACTTCTTAAACGAATTTTTTGTGGACGGTGGGGTAGCAGGGCTTTTTTATGAACAGTTTTGGGGGAGAATTAAACAACCTTTTCATAGTTCGGCTTTTGAAGAGGGTCGTTTCATGGACTTCGGCCTCTGGCGGAGGGAGGGGGGGGGGGTCGTATTTCCAATTTTCCTCGACGGTTCGCTTGACCCTGCTTGAACGAATGACACCACCTTGAAACCCTAATTCGTAACCACGCAGACGGTAGCTTAATGTTTATTTCTTGAGACGGTAGGGATAATTTCCTAAAATACGCTGACGTTCCAATTCTGATAACTTACCGGCTCAGCCTTCCTTGCTCTTTTCTTCGCTTTTCTGGCGTGTTTTTCAGATTTCACCTCTGTATCTGGGTTTTTTGTTGTAGTTTGCTGAAAAAAAGATACTTCAAAACGCGTTGAATTAAAAAAAAAACAATGAAATTTATTGGTGAATCCTGTGAGCTCCCCAGCCTATCACTTCGTTCTGGGGGCAGGCAGACCCACCGATATACAGGGTGTCCCAAAATTACTTGCGCCTATTTATTGCAATGTCTTTTGAACTGTTGGACACAGAATGGTAATTGAATATAAACATAATTATACTAACATCATACACTACAACATGCAACAACCAGATTTCAAAATGTCCTCCACCTGCACGAATTCAGGCCCGGAGTCTCTTCTTGCACCATTCGCACGTTGCACGCAGGTGTTCCTTATCCAATTCTTCCCAGGCTTCCTTTGATGCTGCTTGCAATGGTTGCAGATTCGTACGACGAGCTCGACATGCCTTGCTCTTGAATCACGGACCAGACTGAGAGTTCCAGTGATTAAGATTAGGGGAGCAAGAAGGAAATTCCTCGCGGCGACGAAGTCGGGCAGTTCGCAGCTCGCATCTGCCTCGAACGAGCTTGGCCCCATAGGCTGTAGCACTGTCCTGCTAGCAACACCACGGCTTGTTCCCAAAGTGGGGGTTGGATCAAGGTTTCAATATGTTCGCGCGTCCTTGCTGATCTCCACACATGAATCGGCAAAATTCAACGGCATCTCACCATTGGCCGCTGGTCACGGGTGTACATACTTAGTTTGAACTGAGTACGGTAGCGTAATTAGCGGATTACTGTAGCGCACGGCAGGTCACTTCGCACATTCCCAAATTGCCTGTGGGATGACCCCACTTAATTGCTTGCGCTGAATACTGACATTTCTGGGCAGCTCCAAAACAAGCAAAACGAAGTGAGTGGAATAATATTGGAGTGAACTAGTGTTTTTGAACTATAAATACATACTGCATATTCAACAATTATATTGCTTGATTAGTAAACACAAATAACGCGAAATTCATAGAGCGCCCAGCAGGGTGGTTCCAAATAGTGATGTACAGGGTGGGGCTGGAGTATGTTTGGTGAAGTACAGGAAGCGATAAAGGCCGACATCTACGAATTTATAGAAACACAGAGATCACTCCAAGCTGTATTAGGTGACATATTTCACTTAACATCTCATCGCGTTGTTTTCATCAACATAGAATACCTTTCAACCGTTGCAAAAAGGATGTTTAGCGATACGATAATGGGTATTTCTATTGCAAAATCATTGGCATCAATATTATTCGACCGCTAAATCATCCTGACATCCAATGCATGGTGGCTGTTTACAGACACCACTTTAGCTCCGCACTCCACCGCGCGTATCAGACGGTTGGTTAAAATGGGCATTCTATAGAAGGCCAGCTAACGCATTTCACGAAGCAAGTTATTGTTTAGCGGCGGAACCTAACGCTCCATCGGCTGGCCAGCTTTACCGAGCCCTTCCGTGTCATGCACGCGGTAGTGTGCGGAGCTAAACTGGTGTCCTGTAAGTAATTTACCTCTAGGCGAGTGATAAGTTACCAGTTTTGCTTCGCCCGCTATCGCGCGCATCACACGGCAGGCTTTAGCGAAATTGGAGGACCCATGGAATATCAGCATGAGATACTCCATTAACCATCTCACTATTGACTGTGTTAGACCCTCCACAGTTTCACTGAAGCTCATCGAGAATACGCGTGATAACGTCTGGAGCTGAACTGGTATATTGATCACAACTGTAAACATCCAGCATTCTTCTTGAATTCAGATAATTTAGCGGTGAATAGGATTGCTCAGTCTCAAAATCAAAACGAAATATGCCTATTTACATAAGTGAGGAGCTAAGGCTTATCATTTATTTACATTCACCATTATTTAGAACCCCGAAAGGATTAGCGGTTTAATGAGTTTGGGCTTTCTTGATAGTCAGAAATGAAACTTATCATTTGCTGAAGACTTGTTTTTTTTGCAGTCGAATTCTATTAAGTAAGCTGGATATATATCGAAATAATGTGCACGTAC